GCAAAAATATCTTGTTTGGAGCCTGGATCCTCGTACGGGATTCATTTTCACATTTCGTCGAGTCATGCACTCTTAGAATTTCCTTCTAGTAATTTTTCTCCAGTTTCAGAGTTTCTGAACCAAGTTTGTGGCAAACTTGTTCGGGGCATATCTCTCTGCTCGGGACTCAGTTTTTGACACTATTTCTTCCGTTGTTCATGTTTTCTCATTTTGAATCTTTTTTGTTCAAGGAGTTTTGCTGTTTGAGCGCGTCTGCTCAAATTCCACTTTTCCAAACCTGGCGGGACCCTTTCGGGGCACTTTTTGAGATTTTCTATAAATAGGGGATTTAACGAAGAAAAATCAGATTTTTCTCTTCTTCTTCCTCTCTTGGCCGGTAGCCATGGATGCCCATGGAGCTGCCACTTTCTCTCTCCTCCTTTGATCCACTTTTCCAAAGTGAAAAGTCTTCGGCCTTAATATTTATTGTTCCCCTCGTCGTGCTTTATCTTTCACCCTTATCAGAACTCATTTCTGACCATTTTTTGAGTTTGGGTTTGAAGTCAAGTTGTGATTTTCAAGGGGCTTCTTGGGGATTCTGGTTCATCGTGTTGTCCCAGACAAAACCCCGCAGTATCGTCAGATTCAGAGCACTTTTCTGTCTGTGGGGAATTGAGATTTTCATCTCAAATCGAGGTAGGGGATGTTTTAGGATTCTATATATGTTGTATGGAGTGTTTTCCATGATTATACAACTTGTATGCATGCTTTTGTTTAAGTCCTAGAATTTAATTTAATTACTTTCTATAGTTAGGATTTAATTCTCATGATGATGTATAACTTTAAATTAAATTGTGGCATGCTAGAAAGTTTGGATTTGATATGTTTGTTAACATATATTAAATTGAAATTATTTGAATAAGAATTGAAATTTTTATTTAATAATTATCTTTGGTGAAAGATTAATTCTCATGACCGTACCTTGCATAAAATTAACTTATGATATGTTTTTAAATTAAGTCATGGCATGTTGTTAAACATACTTTAATTTGAGACTATTTGGATGAGTATGAAATTCTAGAGTTTTTAATTAAAAGAATTAATTAAAATCTATTTAATGGGTCCATTGGCTTAAATTGAGTTTTTAACTTGGTATTGTGATGACTAGGACTTATACATTAGCATATGTTAAATTGGAACCACTTGATGTTGTTTTAGAATCTAGGGATTTAATTATCATGTTTAATTAAATTACATCATATTGTTTTAATGACCTACTTAAGTTTTTCATGTGGTATATGTAATGACTATGCTATGTTGTATAACATGTGTTAATTAGGAACCATTAAATCGAGACTTGAAACTTAGAGTAATTTATTAGGTTATGTAATTAATTTCCGTTCCTATTGCGTTGAAGATTTAATCATGTATATAACATTGATAATATGTTTAAAGCATGATTTTAGACTTGTAATGGATTTACAAGTTATGTTTTCACTATTGAATTATATTATTATAGCGTATAACAAATTGCACAGTGAAGATTCGACATGTGATGTTATTATAGCGCGTAACGAATCGCGCTCTGAAGATTCGACATTGTCATCCTATAGTAGTTGTAGATTTAGAGCATGTATTGCGTGGTTTCAACCTACTTGTGCGTGGAATGTAGTTTTGTGCTGTATATATATATTTCGTATATAAGTTGTTAACTTATTTATTTTGGAGTCTTGGGACATTGTTACTGTGATATGGCTAGAGTTTGGCTCTAGTGCGGGAGGTATGAGTTCTCCCCGTTGAGATAGTGCGCACTAGGGTGGTCTTCCTAGCGGGTTAATGCCCGGAATAACCATTTTGTTCTTGGTTTAGTCCGAGACGTGATGTCCAAGTCTTCCACTATTTGATTTCGCATTCAATTCCAAGTTGACAACAAATGTTTAATTGAGACTTGTGGTTTTGGTTATTGGCGATTTAATGTTGTAAAGTACATTTATGCATTATGCTTTTGAATGAATCATAGTATGCTTTTATGTTGTTAAGTACATTAATGTTTATGATTTTTAATGAATCATTGCGGACTTTGATGTTGCTAAGTACATCCATGTTGAAATGTTCAAATGTAGCTTAGGAATGATCGTATAGATTCGTTTGGAACATAGACGTTAGGTGGCATAACCCACTTTGTTGTTTTCGTATTTTAGATTTCAAGTTGGTGACTTTGAGAATCTATATCATGTTGCTTGTATAGCATGCTTTTATGTTGTTGAAATTGCATGGATGATGTGATTTATGCTAGAAATGATTTAAGGTAGCTTAGGATGCTCACCGAGTCTCATTTTGACATAGACGTTAGGTGGCATGAGCCCTTTAACATGCTTCACCTTAAGGTGATAAAATTGTAAAACGTAGGTTGATGCATGCTCATTTCCTACGAGTAACTTTATGTTGCTCATCCCAAAGTTACTGGGGCATATTTTAGGTACAGGTTTCAAGATCTGGAGGATTGCACTTGCCTTGGGTGATTTGTAGATTTGAGGTTTCTTTCAATGCATTTTTGTTCACATGCAAGTGTTAGCATGTTTAAGTTTTGCCTATGAAATATAATTTTTCTAATTTGGAGGTTTGACATGTCAAATATTGTAAATGAATTGCAATAAGGCCATAGGCCATTGTAGCATGCTTAGAATACCATTTTACACTTGCATGTATATTCACATCATCACATATTAGCATATAATTAAGTTTGATCATGCTATGGGGGATTCAAGTGAGGCTTAAAGTCTCTTTTTCAGTTTTGGTGCATAGCAGGTTCGTCTTTGCATTTTTGCCCAGTTTCGGTCGACTGGTGGCCTGTTTCGGTCGACCGAACCTCTATTGGTTTTCATGGTTCAGCAAAAATCCCAATTCTAGTAGCCTTTTTCACTTCGAGGCTTATTTCGGTCAACCGGTTCTCTACATCGTCCGACCGAAACTCATTTTTTTCATCTCGAGACTTCGGTCGACCGAACTGAGAGCTCTTTTCTCTTCTTTTCCAGGCTCATTTCAGCAGACCGATGCTCCATTTCGGTCGACCGAAATGGAGTTGCCTTGTGAGTTTTGCTTGGTTTGTTGCCTTGATGGTTTAACCTTGTTCCACTTGTTTCCATTTGACCTTGTTGGTCTTGTTCAAACCATCTAATTGTGTAAGTAGTCTAGTTTGAACTAGGTATTGTTTCCTTTGGTTGTCATTGGTGTCAGGGGGTACCAATTGACCTTTTTACTCTAGTTTCCACTTCCGGTCATTTCTTTAAGTTTCATGACTTCATGGAAAGTCATTCGGGTGTCGTAGGGATGATTGATGTCCCTATTGATCTTGTTTTTGGTTTTGCTTCCGCATTTCGGATCCTTTATCGGATCATCTTTTGGTTCATCATTGACGCACCGGGTTGAAAAACTTAAGCCGTCACAATTATTACATCAAAACATTCAAACATAAAAATCAATCATATAAATCATACTTTAACATTTTCTCATAGAAAAATAGCATATTTGGCACAAATACAAGAAACCATCATATTCTTCACCCACAACAATTAAATTAACAATATCTCATGCTTAACATCACAGTCAAAATTTACAAACTAAGCATGTTTCACAACATCAAAATTTCTATGTAAGAAAGTACATAAAAATTCACTAAAACTATAGGACTTGTAATTTAAACTTCTCCTACCTCAAGATAGCAAACCAAACAAGGCCTTAGCAAACCCTAACTTCGAAATTCTCCAAACCCTTGTAATATGGCTGCCAAATGGAAGCCCTCTCCAAGTTCTTTAACTTTCCCTTCTTCCCCTCCCTCAATATCTAACTTAAACATTTTCAAAATCAAGATTTAATCTATAGAGATATATATGTGTTTAGATGTAGAAATATAGAGAGAGAAAAGGAGAAAGATAGAAAAAGAAATGGGGTTGCCAAAAATGAAGAGGAAATGAATGGGTTGGCTTGTCTTGCAAACTCATGATGGGCTCTCATTGAGCTACGTACTTGTCAACACATGAATGGATACTAATATCTGGTCAAGTTACCACTTTGTCCTTGCTCTTCCCTCACAATGCCTTCCATATCCCATAAAATATCTTTCTAATATATAGCTACACATATATGTATATGCATGTGAAATGACTACAATGGCCCTTACTTAAAATGAGAAAACTAAAAGAGTTCATGAGTCTGAAAATCGTCCCGACTTCTGAAAAATTCTAAAAATGATACTGTCACTTTTAATTGACGTAAAATGATTAATAATAAATTTCCAAAACTCTCGGCACAAGGAATTAACTAAAACGGTCCTTACGACCCGCGTGACACGCAAAACGAGGTAATGATTAAAATAATTCAAAAAAATCAAATAATTTCCAAAAAATAGAAAATAGAAAAAATCGGTAACATTACAAATTACAACCATCCATACGCAGTGTTTAAAAAAATGTATTTAATATGCATAAAAGTTAACCGGTTAATTTTAAAAAATTAATTTTATACTTAAAATTTGGGAGGTCGTATTTACACTCTTATTTTATAAATGCATTATGCATTTTTTTTTCTTTTCCTAATTTATAAATGTACTATATATATATATATATATTTTTTGGGCTTGTTTTACATGACAAAAATATTCCTAATAAATATGTTACTTATTTATGGGTGAGGAATATTAATGTCATTTCAGTATAAAAAACGTTAAAATAAAAAAAGAAATATTCAGTTTAAAAGTAAAGTGCATTCATATATATATATATAAAAATTTGGGAGGGCACATTTTATTATTTTAACTTGAATAAAGCAGATTTCAAGAGGGAAATAGGAGAAATAATTCAAACTCCACCACTATAATTTTGTTATTTTAAATTCTTAACATTTTAGTGGACCTAACTGTTAGTGGGCCCTCTTGTCATTATGCTGACCTGTAACTTCTTCTATTGCCAAATAAGATAGATGAATACTTCGGTTCACAGATAATCATCTCTCTCTCTCTCACACACACACTCTCTCTCTCTCCAAGGTGTACATGATTCCGTTATTGGCAAATGCAGAATTTCCGAATTCTGTGAGAGAAATACTGTCAAACAGGTTCAGATCAATCAGTCGTACAATGACCAAACAATCGAACCACCAAGAAACTCTCACCACTTCGTCACTTTCCCCAATTTTCTTCCAAGAAATCCCTTCAAAATCGCCATTTCTCACCAGACCCATCACAACCCAGTAGTCCAAACCCACCATATATTTGAATCCCTACTATGCCTCGTCAACTCCTCTGGGTTTTCTTCTTCTTCGTCTTCTTCTTCAACTCCATTTCACCATCTTCTTCCGTCCCTTTCTTGGCTGCACACAATATCACTCTCTTTGGCGATGCTTACTTCAGAAACAATTCAATCAGTCTCACCCAAGACCTTAACTGTTTCTCTCCTCCTCCTTCATCTTCTTCTTCTTCCTTTGGGATCGGAAGAGCTTTCTATGTCGACCCAATTCGTTTTCTTGATTCTTCAACCAACGCCACAGTTTCTTTCTCTTGTCGCTTCTCTTTCACAATCATCTCTTCCCCAGTGTGTTCTTCCGGAGATGGAATTGCCTTTCTGATCACATCCAATGTGGGTTCTTTCAGCCTTTCCGATGGCTACATGGGTCTCCCAGAACAGGCCTCGAACGATCAAGATTCGTTCTTCGCTGTGGAGTTCGATACGAGTTTCGATCCATCTCTTGGTGACATCAATGCCAACCATATTGGTTTAGACATTAACACAATCAGGTCGTCTGCGTCTGTTGATGTCTTCTCAAAAGGGTTTGATCTGAAAAGTGGGAAGGAAATGACTTCTTGGATTCAATACAGAGATTCCGAGAAGATGATCAGAGTGTGGGTTGGAAACTCTCAGGTCAGGCCTTCTAGTCCTCTGCTTGTTGCCCCGATTGACTTTTCCATGCAATTCAAACAGTTCATGTATGTTGGGTTCTCTGCTTCCAACAGAAGAGGCTCTGCAGTTCATGTTGTTGATCATTGGCGATTCAAAACTTTTGGGTTTCTTCCTTCATTGACTCCTATGGATACTGTTGAAGAAGGGGACTGTTTGATTTGCTCTCCGGAGGACTCGAGCATCGAGAACAGTCACTCCAATGACCATCACATGGACAAAAGGGTGCGCGAATTGGCTCTTGGCTTTGGGGGCTTAGCTGCATTTGCTGTCTCTGTATTTGCAGTTCTTGTTATAGTCTGTTTCTGTATGATAAGGAAGAGAAGACTTGATAGCAGATGCAATGAAGGCCAAATTTGTAAGTTTCAAGGGAACAAAGTACCCAAAAGATTGTCACTCACCCAGATAAAATCAGCTACAAGGGGTTTTAACCACAACAGAATCATTGGTGAAGGAGCGTCAGCGACCGTTTATGAAGGTTCCCTTCCCTCTGGTGGAACAGTGGCAGTTAAAAGGTTCAGTCAGCCTACTAGAATCAGCTCTTTGCGCAATCCGTTCACCAATGAGTTTGCGACAATGGTGGGCTGTTTACGACACAAACATTTGGTTCAGCTCCAAGGATGGTGTTGTGAGGGGAATGAGTTACTCCTGGTTTACGAGTACATGCCTAATGGAAGCCTTGACAAAATTCTGCACAAGAGCACCAAAGCCAGAGATAGCCTCACATGGGAGAAGAGAATGAATATAGTACTTGGGGTTGCTTCTGCTCTTATATATCTGCACGAAGAATGCGAGAGGCAGATAATTCATAGAGATGTGAAGACTTGCAATATAATGCTTGATGCTGAGTTCAATGCTAAACTTGGAGATTTTGGTTTAGCAGAAGTTTATGAACATAGTACTTTAAGTACTAGGGATGCTACTTTACCAGCTGGAACAATGGGATATCTTGCTCCTGAGTATGTCTATATGGGTGTTCCGACGGTGAAAACAGATGTTTACAGCTTTGGTGTGGTGGTGCTGGAGGTGGCGTCGGGGAGGAAGCCTGTGGATGATTATGGAACTCCGGTTGCTGATTGGGTGTGGGACTTGTGGGAAAAGGGGAAACTAATTGAGGCTGCTGATCCTAAATTGAAGGGGAAGTTTAATAAAATGGAGATGGAGAAGTTGCTCATGTTGGGACTTGTTTGTGTGCATCCGAACTATGAGAAGAGGCCAACGGTGAGGGAAGCAGCGAGGATTCTCAGAGGTGAGGCACCACTACCTCTTCTGCCATCAAGGAAACCCACGGTGAGCATTCGATCTGTTCTGCCTGAGGGTTCCGAAGAAATACTTAATTTTGGAATAGATGAAAATCATCATGTGGATGACACGCCCTGGTTGACACCTAGGACCCATTTTTAGTTTGAACTTCGAAATTGCTTAGGAATGACATTAGGCCTGAAATGGAAATAATGCACAAGCAACTGCTTTTGCTATTACAAATGCTTGGACCTGTATTTCAGTTTTGAATTCCTTTCTTTATATTTTTGAAGATTAAATTCTACAATGTTCCTAATGTTGCTGAGATAAGTCATTATGACAAGCTTTAGTTATGTTTTGTTGTGTGTAAATAAGATCATACAATTTACCCAAAAAAACGAAAAGAAAAAGATTGTACAACTATGTTTTGTATCATATTTGAAGTAGCTCCATTTTGTTGCAAGTAGGATAGAAACAAGTTTGCTTCAATATTGAAGCTACCTGAGATAAATCAGTATAGTCTATTGGGTGTTGCCGCAATCGCTTGTTTAAATCTCCTCCTGGTTGTGGACACTGATAGCTTCTCTGTCCTCAATAGAGAGGGGAAAAGAGATTGCCTTCTGAGACTTAAGTTTGATCCTTCTGAACTATGATAAGGGGTAGACAGCGAAGAAAGCAGTGATGATCGCTCAAAGGTGCGAGTGTTACTTCTCATAGGCAGCAATAAATTGACATTGGCGACTGGATATGTTCTACAAGACTCAGAACATCTTCTTCAATGTACGATTGTGTGTGCAATTAAACTACATTTACATTAATTAAACATTCTTGGTCCTTAATTTCAGTTGAGAACTTCCGAGACGCTTCAATTTATTTATTTATTTTTCTTCAGATCTTAATATTGCAATGAGTCCTATCATTCTGATCGAACTTAAAATAATTTTTTGGGTATGTCTTGGTTGATGGATTTTTAAGATCATTGCACAATTATTTGCTTATTTTTTGAAGCAGCTTTAAATGTCGTGTCAAGCAGAAAAACGATTCCTTGACTGTGCTAATTGCCTTAGTAGGTGTCCTGTTGAGTGTTTCCACTTACATCAGTTGAAGTTTTTGCCTTAAGTTTGAATACCTAATGCTCTCTTTCTATGGAACAAAAAGAGTTTCTTGGACTTTGTTTGTTTAGTGATATTCAGTAAGATTTTCTGTTACTTGCTCCTAAATCATGACATTTTTAACAGACCCTAAAATTGGTTTTGTAACAGTTCATTTGAAAAATCATAAATTGCATAGCTTAGGGTGCACTGTGAATTACTCTGAAAGTAGAAAGTAGAAAGGAGTACATTTTGTCATCCATAACACAGAAACAAGCTAATTGACAGTGCCAACTGACGTAACTAAGAAAGTCTATTGTCTCTCCTCTTCCCGAGCTTGAAAGCAATGTCCAACTCATTGCCCATCCTTCTTGGAAAATGAAAACGTGAACTATAAAGAACTATATCATCAGCATCTCTATTTCCACTTTTGTTTTTCTTAAATCTCTACAGCAATGCAACCTAATTATAAAAACACTCTACTTTTGGTGAAATTAAATTCTTTTAAAAATTAAAGTAAATTATGATATTAATCTATTTGCCTAGCCTATTATGAATTGGAAACGCGAAATGTTATTACTGCGAACTGCTTCATTTCATGATTTTTTTTTTTTTTGAATTTTTTTTTTTGGGTAAAATATCCAAATGCTTTAGACAAGGTGGAAAATTTTAATTTCCGTGAACCATCCAATAAATTTTTTTAAAATAAAAACAAGCAATAACCTTGTGTCATAGGCTGAAAAGTTGCAATTGGACCAAAAAAACTTAAAGCTATTAGTTTATGCGAACATTCACCCTCAAACCTGTAACGCCCTCATTGCAGCTGGTTCACCTTGTCTATCCGTCCACCCTTACGGTGAGGGACCTCGATTACAACCGAGATACTTCTGTGTAGGCACTTGACTAATACCAGATCAAGGATTGAGCCCACTCTGACACCATTTGTCATGAATTAGCGTTTGCAATTATATCCAAAAACTTAAGATATTAGGTGATGCTAACACTCGCCCTTATATACCCAAGACCCTCCCCCATTCAGATATGATGTGGAACACGAACCCATGACACTTAGTTCTGTGTTTAACCTTGGGTCTTTACTCTCCAGCACTGTATCCTAACTAATGCTCTGTTCAGTAGGAAAGAAAAAATTGGATGGAGGAGAAAAAAGAAGGAATGAATAAGACATTCCTAGGGAAGAGATTGTGTCTTTCTTCTTCTTCTTTTGTTCGGTTAGATGGAACAAGAGAGAATATTATTAGCTTCATCATGAGAGAAGGGAGGTTAAAGTTTTAAATTATTTTTACCATTATATCCAGCAATATCTATAATATTGTAATTCATATAAAATAGTACTATAATTTAAAACTTGTGTAATTTAGGATAGTATTTAATTTAAAATTTCTATAATAGTCCATGTAACGATCCAAATCCTATGGATCCGGATCGCTAGTGGGTGATACTACATAACTGGGTCCCTACCCTGAGGATACATTAAGGGTAAAGTGGTCATTTAACGTTATGACATTGATTAATAGTCTCAATATAATCATACTACTCACTAATGACATTATTAACATGGTTGGAAAGAAATCATGGGTCAATGGTAAATGTCTCCAAATCATGCAAAAGGTAAGAACTGTGAACGATCGCAGGGGCCTACGATCGATCGCTTGGATAAAAGCTTTCGTGCTATAGTCATATTTTAATTCAAATTTGTGAAATGTAATGGTGCGATCGATCTTAATTGGTGCCAAATATACACCCATTCTGGTAAACAGTGAAATGAGGAGTCTGAAAATGAAACTATAAAAGTGTGATCGATCCTGTCTAGTGTGCGATTGATCTTAGCTAGGGAAAACTTTGAAAAAAAAATGCCTTCTTTTGCTCAAAACCATTCTTGGTTACTTGGGCCATTACAACCTGTGCCAACTCACTGCATTGGATACATAGAAGCATCATTCATGAACATAATATCAATTTTCCTTTCATAGCCTAAATCCCATCCATTCGAATTACGGAGGCCAAAATACTTCCCTTACATAGTTATATACAAAATAATGCTAAATTAATCAATTGCATGCCCAATGTTCAAGGTCACCAAAGGAATAGGATTACAAAAGCAAGATCATTATAGTACATTTACAATGCTTATACATTAAGAGGTACAAAAATACAACTTAGAATTAGTGGTCAATCTCCTACACTAGGCAAGTCACAAAATGGATCAAAAGAATCGCAACAGTGATGTTTTACATTTTTCCATTTTCCTAGTTTTCTTTTTTTTTTTTTTTTTTTTTTTTTTTTTTTTTTTTTTTTTGCATGCCAAGCTCCATTCGGTGTGTCGTGTGGGTTTCAAAAGTGATTTAGAGTATTTCTTCGCATTTAAAACTCTTACAAATACATTTTGGATCATTTTTGCATTTTTTGAAATTTTGATTCGGGAGGTCCCGAGTGGGTCCCACGCCCAAATTTACGTGTTCCGAAATTTTTTCTAAACTTATTTAAATGTTTTATATATTATTTGAATTGTATTTATGTGTCAATGTGCTTAATTGTATCATTTTAACATGTTTAGTGCATATTTGGGCCTAAAAGGCATTTTAGTCATTTGGTGGTCAAGGTGGGTCCACCATTGGCCAAGCCACTACATAAATGACTAGAAGAGTCCATTTACAGAATAATTCTTCTTTTCAGCCACAACTCCTCCTTCTCTCTAAAAATTTTTCTCTCTAGAACTCCATTTTCAAGCCCAAATTCCTCCTTTTTCCTTCGGTTTTTGACCTTGCCATTGAAGGCAAAGTTGATGAGCTCATTGAGACCTTCAAGTTGATTGGAGCTGATCTTCAATTGGACAAACTTGATTTTCGAATTTGGGGGCTGAATTGGGGCTTTGGCTTGATTTTGAGGTAGGGGTTTCTAAACCTCAATTCCTTTAATTTTAGTAAATTTTCCTTCTTCAATTTGTATAATAACATGTTTAGATTTGAATTCCTCTTGTGGTTATTAGGGTTTGAATGTGGTAAGATGATGGCTGTGTTCTATGTGGTTAAAATGTAATTTACATACTTAATTGAACTATTGTAAAAAGGTATGAATGTTTTCAATCAATACATGCCTTCTATGTCTAAATTGCCATAGCTGTGATGTTGATTATATTCAAGAGTGGTTATGCTTGTTACATGAGAACTGCCATGTCAATTTACTCCCAAAGCATAAGTTATAGAATTGGTTTTTGATGTAGGAAATTCGATATTGATATGACATTGAGAAGTATGTAACATTTATGCATTTACATTGGATGAAAAATAGGAAAAATAAATTTTGAAATGAAGAAAGGTTTTGGGAAATGTTTTGAAAATGATGTTTGCGAAAATCGGGCGGTAAGGAGTTACCTTGTGTCCATGGCGTTAATGGGACCTAGAGGGAATTTATGGAGACTACCCTACGCGTGGTTGAGTTACTTAGGCCCCAAATGACGCTAAGGAATTACCTTAGGTCTGGGATAGTTAGTCAATCCTCCTCTCGTGGCGCTGAGGAGTTACCTCGGGTCAGATTACCTCAACGATTTGATGGTTACGGTATTAGAAAGGATTTTGGAAAATGGGGAGAGACATTGGCATTGCATTTTATTGCATTTACGGGACTTTTACTATATGATGATTGGTGTGGCTCAGGTCGTGTGCACCAAATTGGCCAAGTTTGAATTTATAAAATGCCACTACTACCTCTAACTAATAATATAGTTATGGTGAGTAGGGATCGTCCTAAGGGATTGGAAGCATATTTTTTGCTTGGAAACAGTGTCGGATTAATAGGTCGAGTGATCAAAAGGTGGTTTGATTGGTTAATTAGACTACAATTTAAACTAAATGAAAGTAATGTAAAGCAACTAAAGTAAGTAAGATGTAGAGAATAAGAGAGAGGTCTTAGGACCTAGAGTTCACCACTAAGCACCATCTTCCTAGACATTCAATTTTTGATTGATTAAAGGGGAAATTGTGTTGTAAGTGAGAGTATGTGCCATTGATTGAAACATTAGCATGGATGGCCAAGTAAGCATACATTATCAAGTCAATCAAGTGAATAGTACAATATATCAAATTAAGCCATTAATCCTTCCATAAGCCCACAATCAATGCACATCATTAATTAGAGAAATATACTACTTGCATTCATAAGCATAGAATATCAAACAATAAGAATGGATTGTCCACATATCTAAGAAAGTAAGGCATCTACACTACAACTAAGCAAGTGCCATGAAAATTAAACTAATTAAACTAAGGTTGTGACACAATCCATTAAGAAATGAGTATGAACCATCAAATAAACCATAAAAGTATTCCATTTAAGCACCATGCCTTGACCATCACTAGATGCATAATATCAACACACATAGACATGCATTAATGTAACAAAATTTAGAGATAAACACATGAATATTCATTCTAGCATACATAGACAAATAAATAGAATTAAATGATCAATTGAAAGTATTAAAATACATAAATCATGGTAAAAACAAGATCTATATATAAATCAAAGGTCAAAACAAGATTTACAACACTAATCCCCATTAATTACAAAACATCAAAGTCTAAGAGGCATACTTAGGGCTAACTCTAGCCCCAAGAAGATGTTTTGCCACTCATTGATGTTATCATGCAACCCTTAAGGGCTATCTTCATGTTAGAAGTGATCTTCTTCCTCCTTGGTGGAAACCTTAGAAGAGAGGAA